TTAAATAAGATATTAAACTTTAAATTAAAAAAAAAGAATTTCGATAGGAGGAAAATATATTTATATTTTTTGCAACTCGTATTTAAAATGTATATCTTTAAGTACATTATGATAAGATAATACAAACCTAGTTTATTGTATAATGCATTGAGTAAGACATGAGGAAGGTTGACACAAAACTTACAAGACCTATTGTATTATTTTTTATGAACATTGCAATATCGCACGTTGTTTTTTGTTTTTAACGTAATTACTCGAGAAAAACATTAAATTTTATTATAAAAAAAACAAGTAATGTAAAAAGAAAAAATGAAGTTTTAACTTAATGATAACATTATGCCACTCCCACCTTATTAATTTATGTTAACAGTAGGCTATTGCTAATGAAATTTTTTTTCTTTTTTTTTAAAGAGGTACTTACGGAAATTTTATGTAGAAACGTCAATAACGTATGTTTTCTATTTTATTACCCGTATTATAAAACCTACATTTTTATTTAAAAAAAAAAAACTATAAAAATATTACACTTAAATTACTTAATTATATTAAAAACCAAACGGAAGGCACTAAAAACAATTATTTCCCGTACTGTGAATCTAAGAAACACTTCCGCGCATCTTGATGATAATTGTTGCGCATATTGTCTCACTATCACAGCCTTTTACATTTGTAATTTTAATAGGCGGCTGTGAAATTTTTTTGTTAAAAAAAAAAAGGAAATCTGGCAACATTGCTACCTACTGGCGGTTAAACGTATAAAATTTGTGTGAATTTATTTAAGTTAATTGTAATTATTTAATTGGTTTTTTTTTTTTACTTTTTACTTTTTACGATGTAATTGTAAAAACTAATCGTTTGAAAATGGATGAAACAATGAAACATACGATGTAAGGTAAAGTACAAATAATATTCTTTATTACAAAATAATTTTGTCATGGATGTTATCCACCAAACCTTTTTACATTATAATTTTCATCATATATTTTTAAACAAAAATAACAGAAAAAAAACACAAATTAAGAAAAAAAAGATAGAAAAAAGTACATTTGATTAAATTATAAAGGTTGATGGGAAAGTATTAAATTGTATTTCTCTGGAATTCTTTTTTTGAAAAATATTTTTAATTAAGATACTTGAAATTTTATTATATTCTTTCGCTTTGGCCATTAAGCTGAGTTTATATCTTTGTCTATTTTTTTATTTTTTTATTTTTTTTTTTCATATACTAGCATACATTAACTGTAACTAAGAACTTTCACAGTGGATTTACATTAAAAGTCATTTTTTTTCAACGTATTGAATTTTTTATTGCGGGTTTTATATATATATATATATATATATATATATATATATACATACATTTTTTCCTTCAAAAAAGAAAAAAAAACTCTATTAAACCTTTAAAATTTTAAATAAACCGTTAAAAATGTTTTTTTTTTTTGTCCAAGGTGGTTTGGTATTTTTCCATTTTTTTATTTCTCAAATATAATTCAATTACATTCATTAGTTACACATTTTAATAATTTGATTATTATTATTTTGAATCTGTGTGTACTTTTTTTTTTCATTCACATTTATTCTCATTAATTTATTTATTTATTTAGTTAATTATTATGTGATTCAATTAGTTGATTTGTAAATTTAAAAAAAAAAAAAATCATCAATTTGTTTAACACACAATAAATATAAAAATAAAATCAAATGATGATAATAAACATAATCATTTTTTTTAACATAATGCAAATTATTTTTACTTTTGAAAATAAAATAAAAAATTATATTATTTATAATATATATATATATATATTTTATGAAAATTACATTTTATAAAAGCAAAATATTATAATATGCAAATAAGGTGGAGTAAATGATTTCAATTTAAATTTAAATTTTAAAAAATATTTATAAATAAAATTAGATTGTATTATAAACTTTTTTTTTTTTATAAAAAAACTTTTTTTTTTTTTTTTTTTTTTTTTAAAATTTAGAATTTTAAAAAAGTTTTTTTTCTTTCTTTCTTTCTTTCTTTTGGTTGTTTAGGACCCCAGATTTTTTTTTAAACTAAAGTTATACATTTCCTGTTTCATTTGTTTAACTTTGAATTTAATTGGTTTTAAAGGCAAACCGCTTGAGGGTAAGAAAGTTTAAATTTATTTCCATTATGTTCTTTTTTTTTTTTTTTTCTTTTTTATGATGAATGAATTTTTATATGAATGATTTGACTCCTCAACAAATTAATTTTTTCTCTTATAAATTGATTTGATTTGAGCATAAGAGGATAGAATAAATGATTAATATGTTTGCAAATAAAAAAAAAATCTTTTAATTATTATAAATAAATTATCAATTGAATGGTTAAAAAGAAAAAAAAATTATGTTGATTAATTGGTAATGAAAACAAAAGAATTTTTTTTTTTGAAAATTTTTTAATTACGTTAATGATGATGATTATTATTATTATTCCCATGGAACTAATTATAAGATTTTAAAATTTTTATAAAAGAATTTTTTATAAGAAATCGGTTTTTTTTTTATTATTATTAATATCATCAAAATTTTATAAATAATGAAAAGCATTTTGAAAAAAAAAAAAAAACAATTGGCATCTTAATTAAACGAAAAACGAGAAAAAAAAGACAATAACATTAATATTATTTATTGTTTTATTATTAAGATACCGAAAAAATAAATTAATAAGTTATTAATAATAATAATAAAAACTTGAAATTTAAATTTAATTCGATTCGACGATTCTTAAACGTATTGTTTTATTTTTTTTGTACTTAATATTTTTGAAATAATAAATAAAAAAAATTATTAAACTCAAAATTATTTAATCGTTAATTAATAATAATAATTAATTTCATATAATTTTTATGCACGACATGTTTTTTTGGTGTTTTAATATTCGAAGCATTTTCGATTACAATTTAAGGTTATTTGAATGTTTTATTTCGCAGGATTGATGATAATACAAATCTCGGTGATTTTTTTTTTTAAATATTACATTTTATCGTTATATACCTTCTTCTTTTACCTTTTTTAAAAATCCCATTTAATATTATTATTATTATTATTATTATTATTATTATTATTAAAACTTTTTTCTGTCTTCTTAAAAAAAAATTTACTTAAAAACTTAAATCACTTATTCATTTTTATTACTTTAAATTGTATATTTTTTAAAAAAAAAGGTATTAATTTTTTTTCCCATCCCCTTCTCCCCCTTCCTCTCTTAAAAATATAGCAGTTTTAAATTTAAATTTAAATTTTATAAAACACGACTACGGGGGGAGGGTGGAGAAAAAAATTCTTATTTAATATGTAAAAAAAAAAATGTGTCTTTTGCCGCGTTAATGACTTTTATGTTATTATTATAAAGTTGTGAATTTTTTACATTTATTTAAATTTGAATTATAATTTAATAATAATAATAATAATAATACAGTTGTACAAGACCGGGCATTGCGGACGTCATGATGATATGTGCCGAATTTGTCAATCGCAATCGGAAACAATCGACAATTTAATTTCCGGTTGTCCAATATTGGCAAAACATTAATATCTTGAGAGGCACAATAAAATTAGTAAATATCTTCATTGGAAATATGTTGTGAATATGGAATGAATGAACTTGCTAAGGAATGGTGCAGGTTCATGCACGGTTTTGTGTGATTGACAAATTCACACAGACAGGACTGTTTCAGCCGGAAAACCGGATATCATCTTGAGAGGCATAATTTTGACAAATAATTTAAATTAATTGAAGTATCCGTACCGGCGGTAAAAAAATCAGACAGCCAAAGAAACGGTCAAAAGGTTAAAATAGCCAAGATGTGAGGAAAGTAAAAACAGAAACTATTCCGATCATCGTGGGAGCAGCACTGGGAGCCATGCCACATTTAATAAAAGGAAATTTAAAGAAGATTTTGAAGAACCTAAAAGAAGAAACCATCCAGGAAATCGCACTATGTGGGACGGCCCACATTCTTCGGAAAATATTATAAATAGCACCACCGAAATTCGAGCATTTATCCCTAAGGAATCGTCGGGTAGAAACCTGGAATAAATGCTTAAAACTTCGACAAGTACAAAAAATTTCGCCGTGTTTAAAAATAATAATAATAATAATAATTACAACAAACAAACCGTTAAAACAAATAAAATGTATAAACGTTCGTGATTTTATTTTAAAAAAAACTCTTTTATAATAATAATAATGATAAAATACTAATAAATTTTTATCGAGCCTAACAGAAAAATTATTTATTAATTTTAAAATAATATAACAACTATCAAAATAATTCGATAAATTCAATAAAATTATTAATTAATAGATCAACAGCAACCATAAAATAAATGTGATGAAAATTTATTAATTTAGGATATAATTTAATTAAATAAAAAAATTTAAATAATAAAATTAAAATTTATTTATTTATTAAATGAATTTTTTTTTTTTTTTTACAACAAATCAATTTTTTTTTTTATTGTTTAATAAATAAAAATTA